TATAAATGGGCTTACTTTCTTGATTTCTTTTTCTGCTAGTTTATTATAGGATAATAAAAACACTGCTGATATTTGGGTGTTGACTTTGTGTCCTATAACATTACTGAAATTGTTAATCAGCTCTAAGAGTTTTTTGGTAGAGTCTTCAGATTTTTCTATGTATAGGATCATATCATCTGCAAACAGGGAGAGTCTGACTTCATCTTTTCTAATCTGGATGCCCTTAATTTCTTGCCTGATTGCTCTGGCTAGTGCCTCCAGTACGATGTTAAATATTAGTGGTGGGAGTGGGCATCTTTGTCTTGTTCCTGTTCTAAAGGATGATATTGGCAGTGGGTTTGTTGTATATGGCTTTTATTGTGTTGAGACATTTTCCTTCTATACCTAATTTGTTGAGAGCCTTTATCATGAAGGGATGTTGAATTATGTCAAATGCTTTTTCTGTGTCTTTTGAGATAACCATATGGTCTTTGTCCTCGATTTTGTTGATGTGATGTATCACATTTCAGAACAATGGAACAGAATTGAGAACCCAGAAATCATTCCACAGCCTTAAAGCCAACTGATCTTTGAAAAAAGCATCAAGAATATACACTGGGGAAAAGACTGTCTCTTCAATAAATGGTGCTGGGAAAATTAGATATCCATAAGCAGAAGAATGAAACTAGACCTGCACCTCTCACCATGTACCAAAATCAACTCACAATGGATTAAAGGCTTAAGTATAAGCCCTGAAACTATAAAACTACTAAAGGAAAATATAGGGGAAACACTTCAGGAAATAGGACTGGGCAAAGACTTTATGAATAAGAACCTAAAAACACAAACAACAAAAGAAAAAAATAAATGGGGTTTTATTAATCTAAAAAGCTTCTGCATAGCCAAAGAAACAATTTACAGAGTGAAAAGGCAACCTACAGAATGGGAGAAAATATTTGCAAACTATACATCTGACAAGGGATTAATATCAAGAATATATGAGGAACTAGAACAACTACACAGTAAAAAACCAAATAACCCAATTAAAAAATGGGCAAAAGAGCTAACAGACATTTTTCAAAGGAAGACATACAATGGCCAACGGGTACTTGAAAAATTGCTCAGCATCACAAATCATCAGGGAAATGCAAATCGAAACCACACTGAGATATCATCTCACCCCAGTAAGACTGGCAATAATCAAAAAGACTGAGAATAACAAATGCTAACAAGGATGTAGAGAAAGGGAAACTCTTGTACACTGTTGTTGGGACTGTAAATTAGTACAGCCTCTATGGAAAACAGTATGGAAGTTTCTCAAACAACTACCATATGATTCAGCAATCCCACTTCTGGGTACATATCTAAAGGAATGGAAATCATCAAGTTGAAGGGATACCTGCACTGCCATGTTCATCACAGATCTATTTACAATAGGCAAGATATGGAACCAACCTAAATGTTCATTGAAGGATAACTGGTTAAGGAAAATGTGGCATAAATACACAATGGAATACTACTCAGACATAAAAAAGAATGAAATTCTGCTATTTACAGCAACATGGATGAGCTTGGAGAAATTACATTAAGTGAAATAAGCCAGGCACAGAGGGAAAAATACTGAACGTCCTCACTCATAAGTGGGAGCTAAGAGGGAAATAAGGAAGGAAAGAAAGACCACAGTGGTACGCTGAACTTGCAGAGGGAGAGACTAGATTTAGGGTTGCCGGGGCAGTGGGAGGTAGACTGGGGAGAGGTCGTGTGGGGGACATGGGGAATAACTGCAATTTGAGGTGTTGGGCATGCTGGTAGCATTGATTTGCTTACCACATCTTGGGCACGAGTCAGCTCTTGCCCTATGAATATGTATAATCAATACAAAAAAAATAAACAAATAAATAACAGAAAAAAATATATATATATAAATCGGGATTAGCATGGAAGGCCTTTAATATTGAAACCAAACTGGGCCTAATTCTCTTCCTTTCCCATTATTCCCCATCATTCCCCATCTCAGTCGATGGTGATTAACTGAGCTCAGTTATCCAGGCTCAGGATCATGAGGTGTCTTCAACTCTTGACTTGTCCAAGCCCCAATCAGTCGATAATCCAGACCATTCTACTTTACTGTGTGCCCATGCAAAACTGCACTTTATGCTCTGTTCTCACATTAAACTGAGTGCCTGAGTTTGTACCTACTTCATTCTGTCTACAGTTAGCTGCTGACAGGACAGTTATTTCCAGCAGAGAAGGGACAGTATCTTTTCTACTTTTATTTTCTTCCAATACCTTACAAAAACTAAATATCTACTGATATTAAAAAAACCTACTGATGTGTTACTTTCGTGACCAGGAGTCTGACGTTTCCTCACTAGGCAATCAAGAGATACGTAAAGTTAGTGAGGTACGATGAGAGTACTTGGACGTGTACCCTTGTGCATTTGGGACTGTCACTGACTGATAAACTTCTAGAAATAGGTTTCACATGTAATGTTTAAATTTCAATAGATACTCCCAAATCGCCTACAAAAGAGATTGCAAAATGTACGTTTCCACCAACAGCCTTTGCTTGTATGCATTTATCCACATCACTGATTAACACTTGATGTGTTACAGACATTTAAACTTTCTGTAGCACTTAATTAGTTCATTTCTTAATCCTTAGTAAGGCTGGGTAGGTACCTTCCCATATGCTTACATGCCAGTTAATTTTGTTCCATAACCTGCCTTCTCTTATCCTTTTTCCACTTTTCTTTTCTAATGGGGTGTTTGGACTTTTTCTTATTAATCTGTATCAGACTCTGGATGTTACAGGACCACCCTGTTGACTGCTATGAGCGTTAAAAATAAT